AAGCGAAAGAAATTATTATATACAGAATTTACCAGTGCTATCCCTACAACGTAATAACTATTAGGACGTAAAGAAGAATAGGGTTATTTATGAAAAAATGTCGAAGCATCAGTCAGTATATATGTATATTTATGTAAGGTTGTTGAGAAAATTGTCTATCTTCCTAACACCATATTCAAAAAAGTAAGTTCAAAACAATTGAAGTTTGAAAATAATAACGTTTTCTGATTTGATATTCTAACATTTTATGTTGAGTAAATTTTTAATCATTAGCTGACAATACGGTTTGAATGTGCCTCCTCTCTTCCATCTCTCATTCAGTCACCTGCGTGCCCGACAAGGTTCATAATGGTCATACTTTATCATACACAATATTCAATTGTACATTGTAGCTATGCATTAAATTGAATTACCGTACATATGAAGTACTTTGTATTTTAAAACTTATATATTATTCAATATTTTTTATATTATATAGTTATATTCACTGTATAGTCGTGAGCCCCAACCCCGCGGCATTTTTTCACCCTGCGGTATATACAGGGCGTTCCACGGATTTTTCACACGGAGGGAAAGTATATTAAATATAAATATTGAAGATAGGATACTTTACTGAAAGAAAACATCATTTTATTTTTAATAATAAGTAGAACTACATTCACATTTAAAAAAAAGTCGCCTGTCAAAACCAGGAATCAAAGTCGTGAAATGTGAAACAAAAAAACACATGTATTTTATGATAATTTTCCCTCCGTGTGACAAACCCATGGGACGCCCTGTACCCATTACAGATATACTTTTACTGAATAATAAAGTTTAATAATAAGTTATTTTCAGAGTTTACGTTAATAACCTACCTATATCTTAACGTAACATTATTTTATAGTTAAATAGATAATTTTAAACACAATACATGTTTGTATGTCTCGCCTGGTGTGTACTGGTACTGCTAGTGTTAGTAAAACATTTTTTTGTTCCTAAATCACTCATTCGATTTAGTTAAACATGACTGTACTGTGCTTAACAAAACTGTCAATAAGGTTCAACTGGCAGTAGGGTATATATCTTGAAGGTCCAACGGGCACCAAAAAAGAGGTCAAATGGGCACATTGAATATAAAACTTTTTAAGAAGGTCCTTCTTCTTCGGCGCTACACTCTTGACAGAGTGGTCGTGGTCGTCACATCAGGATTGGTGGCGCGCTTCACAATACGCCGCCATTCGTCCCGCACTGCGGCCTTTCTCGTGCACTCGTGAAGTGGACCGTTCAGTGCCGCTTTTATTTGGTCAGTCCAGCGCATTGGTGATCTGCCGCGCGCCCTTACGCCCTCGACGCCGCCCTGCACCACCAGTCGTTCCACTGACACATCATCTCGGCGTGAGATGTGGCCAAAGAAAGTTAGAATACGACCTTGTACGATGGAAGACAGACGTTGTTTGATGGACAGTTCCTGGAGGATGGATGCATTGGTTCGGAAAAGAAGGTCCAATGGACACCAAAAAAGAGGTCCAATGGGCACTTTTTGCTTTTGGGTCGAATCTTGCGGGTCCAACAGGTACTAGACCGTTCTGGCTACATGTACGTACGTATTGTACTCGTAAAAATTATATTTTTCTATTAGTTGTATTGCAACATATTCTCTCAATTTGGAAAAAATATTATTAAGAATTTATCGAATATGCGTTTTCAAAACCCACAGTATCATCCAAAGCCACCCGCCGCCGTCGGTGGTTGCGCTGCGCTCTCTCCTGTCCGTCATACTTTTTCTCAAACTAATTAGCCATAATGTTTAAGCCTTCTGTTTTTTTTTTCATAATAACATCAAGATTTATTGAAAAATTATGACATTGCAGAAGAAAAGACATCAACGCATTACGAAAAAACATAATTTCTAAGCATAATAGTAACATACCCGTGAAAAGCTCCAGATCAGTTTCTTGTATTGTGGTATTTAGGTGAGAATCAAACATGTCACACTGTCCACTCATTGTTTTTCATGAACTCCTATTACTATACTTTTAAATTTGACAATTGATAGATATGTTGTAACGATCTAAATCACTATAAATTTACTATACTTTGTGAATTAAATATTGTAGGTTTTAAATGTTGAAGTATCTTTCAAATGTCAAATTATAGTTGGTCTGACACACTTGATAGAAAACTTGAACTGAAAAATCGATGGACCAGGAGCTGCACAAAGTTTTACTGAAACATTTTCAGCAAAACTTTTTAGTTTTTTTTTTGATCTCCCATGCTAAACAAATAGACGTCTTGGACCCGATCAATGGCAAATGGGGCATTAATGCGGTTGAACTTTGTAAGCGACATATATGTCGCTTTGTGTTATAAAACAAACGTACAGTGTTCCGTCCACTCGGTTAAGAATGGCGATAAACTTTTTTAAGTGTAACTTCTTTTCGGACTGGGTCTAAATGAAAAAATCCTATGGAGAAGATGAAACGGAAAGCGTCATGAGCGTCACACGACTCTATATATATGTACATATATACATGATGGTCCGTGCATACATTTTTTTTTTATTTAATAACAATAATACAAAGTAGACTCCATAATATATCTTTCCTCCTTATGACATTTATTAATTTATGGAAATGCTATCGTCGCGTACATCGCACGGTAGCCTATCAGACAACTATATCTATATTTTATAAATAATTTATAGCAGATAATGAGGAAATCGATGGAGTAGTGATTAGCGCAACCGGTTTATTATAATGGATGTTAAGCAACTTTTTCAGTGACCGGTGATCAGATGGGTGATCATTTACAATCTCAAGTTCCTCCTTGCCTTGGAAGGCACGTTAAGCTGTTATCTGCTACATTTATAGTCATTGGTACACATCAATCTACACTTGTGTGGATGGGTTCTCCTTGTTCCATCGTTATTAAATAAATAATCTATCCCTCAACTGGAGTGCAGCTATGGGGATATTCACAGAACACAAAAAGAGGTTAGAAGGGTGATCATCAACCGTTTGTACGGAAGCCGATGTCGCCGGCTCGCCCCCTCTACACTTCCACCTAATAGATAAATAGCCAATCAAACGACGCGACATCAAACAATCGAACCAATCAGCGATCACATCCAAGGGCAACGGTGCAATCAGAACAAAGTTTTGGTCAAGTTATGAGCATCACACATAACTGTGGCTCTTCTAACGTCTTTCTGTGGGGATATTAATATATTTCTTATTTTTATACGAGGTGCAATAAATTACCTACCGTGTTAAGCGTAAGTGGAGTGAAAATGTGCCACCTCAGCCATCCCCACCTTGCCGGAAACCCTGGAACCCTACGTCGGAGCTCTGGTCTGTGAGGTGGAGGCTATTTTCCCAGACGGGCGCTACAATTCGAGCGAAAAATCCATTGTGCCCTACCTCTCTTAAATGATAGATAGTTATACGATGTAACAGGAGAACCATCACTTACTAGAAGTCATGGTCACTATGCAGTCCAACATTGTGAATTTCTTCTAACATTGCCCATGATTCAGAATACAGAATTCAGAATTTTCAAAATCAGTTCTGCAGTTCCAAATATTTGGTAGAAACCAAACAACCTTTTTATATTATTACTATAGATGTGAATGAAGGTAACTTTGATTAAATATATTATGATTTATATTTTAGGTTGAAATGTATGATAAATAATAATTTAACTACGTTTTAATGTCATACTAAAAGCCAAGAATGAACGTGGAAACTCGCTAAGTGTTAAGAGTATACGGTTAGTAAAAGTCTATAAAAATACAAAATAGTTTCAGAAAACAATCAACATCTTTTTATTATATTCCAAATAAAAAGTTAAACTGAACCATTGTCATGTACTTTACCTACGACATTTGAACTAATAAACAACGAAATTTATGATTTATGTAATTCCATTCACATTCCACTGCGTTGGTATTTCAATATAAATGTATTATTCTGTATTATGTCAAAAAATCATTAACAGAGTTAATAATATTGCATAAGAATAAATGCTTCAAATATTGAAATATCCATAATAGAAATCGATCCAAACATTTTTCATAATCCACGCCAAGAGCGTTGATATAAATTATTTTTTTAATGTTAGCATTTATGTTCTCATTAGTTCTAATGTAAGTGCGGCCTGCCAAATAAGTATAATTTATGGTTTCAGTTAAACATTAGTTATAATAAAAATGGCGGCAAACCCTCTAACACTATTTAGTTCTTACTACGTGTACGTGACCGCTGATTAAGAGTCCGGCGACTCGACTACACGCGTAACTAAACATCAACACCACCCCTACTACTGGTGCTGCGTATTCTTACCATAACTCGAACGGTAACACATAAGGTCCACTGGCTTCGGTGTAGTAGGGTCTAATCTTGAAGGTCCATTGGTTACTAGACAAATTCAACAAAGTGGTCCAATGAGCGCATTGAATATATTTTTTTAAGAAAGGTCGAATGTGCTATGGAAATTAGGTCCTTTAGGCACTTGTAGCTTTTGGATCGAATTTTGAAGGTCCAGTGGGTAAAAGAATGACAGACAAAGAAAGGTGTTACAAAACCTTGCAACTTTTCGTAAAAAGTATAATATTACTCCAAACATTGACATGACATGTTAGAAACCCCATTTGGTAAAGTAAATACTTACTGTGACTGCATCAACGCAGATGTATTACGATTCCACTAACTTGATAGTGAGACAAAATATTATGCCAATTACTTATTAAAGTGATACTATTTATACATCGCCTCAAATTTTTGTTCAACTTTAGCATGTCACATTACTTTTGTAATTGTTATAAAAACAAACCTTAACCGCTACGCAGGCGGCCCGTGTTCGATTCCCAGCCGAAGAAGCCCTTTTTCCACTTATTATAAGCAAGACAAAAATTGAGGCGGATGTAAAACACTTTGGAAGTTTCACTTGCATGGTGGTTCCATAAAACCACCCTTTTTTTCTTTCTTACGACTTATCCATGATAAGTAATAAGCTATAATTCACGCTCACTTATTGGGTAGATGCAGATGTTCTTCGATGAACTATAAGCTTCATTCTGTTTAAAATGTCACTTCGTCCTTGTAAATATTTGAAAATATATAGAATGAGGATGAATCATGTTTGAGTTCATACAAACGTCCATGGATCAGCTTTATTGACGTAAGAGTTTTTATCAGGTCCAGATAAATAACTCGAAAGCTATCGAGTTACACATGAACCCCATGGTAGGGGCGTTCGTCCTGCCGTCCGCGGCTAATGAGGGAGCAATAAAACCACGGTGTGGAGTGAAACAATCGCAGCTAGTATGGAATTTATATTTAAGTTCTCATTATCTAGGAGCCGCCATTAATGATCCGCGTTTATTACATCGTTTGCAATGCAAATGTATCGGGGCCGCCGACGCCGACGCGCCGACTACGCCCGGTCCTCATAAATAACGTTACTACTGTGTGATAATGCTCACATATCGCTCAATAGCATTCCACGAACAAATAAATCAATATATAAGCTTTTTGCAATGCCAGTGGATTTTTTATTCATGAAAACCGGGCGTCGTTGTGTGTCTAACTAAGATTTTTAAACAAAGTCACTAAGCACTGAAGCAATATTTTCTGTCATATTAAAAAAATAGATAAACAAATTATTAAAATTGCATTTACCAATGTCATTACTTAAATACACAAGTGTACAATGCCAGACTGTTACAACATTGATCAGTTTTAATGAAATTATTTAGTACATTTATATCTTTTAGCAAGTTGCACTGCGCTCACGCTGACATAAATAGTAGCTGCATATTCAAAAATACAGCTAGAAAGGTACAATTAAGTATCACAATAATTTTAATGTAAAATAGAATATCATGCCTTCCCTGAAAGATGCCTTTTCTGACATCATCAATCATGTAAATATGATCAATCTCACAATTATTATTAAGTTAAGTTAAAACTTACACACAAGTTTAGTTGTTTTCAGGTTTTGCAGTGCTCATCTGTAAAATTTTCACGCGTGGATCCGATGTGGATCCGCTAAGTTCCGATATAAATCCGCGCGTGAAAATTTTACAGAATAACACAGCTGATTTAAATATACCAGAAATTGTAAAAAAAAATCTAGTTAACTAAGTATACAATTTTATTTGTGTTTTAATATCACTAAGCGAGCACTTTTTATAATTTTTCACAATATTAAACATTCATGTAAAGATTTGTCACAAAACCCACATAGATAATTAAGAAGTGAATTAAGTAAATTCCCTATGCGTCGGCGGCGGAGATCTATATGACCGGATACACGCAGACTAATGGTAGCCATACACTACGAGAAATCGTTACGATTAGACTGTACAGTCCGAACGGTACCGATAAATCGTAACGTATATGTTATAAAACTGCCCAGTTTCCTATACGTACGCCACGTACGATAAACTGTTCCGTTCGAACTGTACAGTCTGATCGTAACAATTTCTCGTAGTGTATATGGCTACCATAACATTCATATGTGACGAGTTCGTTGTGATAATACTTATATAACTTTATAATATACTCGGCGGGCATCGTGCCTCATGCTTCGGGGGACCTATGATGAGCTCAAGCCAACGTGAAGTAGAATCAAATCGATCGAGGGCGATCACTAATTCATTACAAAGACTATTTCATTATTTGAAGAACGCAGTAGGCTTCTATATTGCTTCATTTTATTATTAATAAGTAATTTTATATATTGATGTTCAATGCTATTTGATTTCAATCATACTAAATTCTACTCAGCAGATAGAGAGATAACACATTTGTTTGTATGAACGGCACACATTCACAAAAAGAAAAACAATCTAATAATAAAAGTCAAATCTATAAAGTGTGCCGCAACAAAATGGCTCGGTGATGATTTTTCTCAGAGAGCAAAACACTGATTTTCAGCTGTAACCAAGTACATAAATAATGCTGAAAACTGTTCTCGCGCTACTTGTTACAACAAGTTAAATCAATAAGGGAGAAGAGAAAGAAGGATAATTATCTAAAATGTATACTACACCAATATATAAATATATTACTTTACCAATAATAAAGAACTTCTATACTTACTATATTATTGCAAAGATTTATTTTACAGATAAAGATAGAGATAGACAGTATATAGTGTATAACACACATAAATTATATAAAACATGCTTTATGTTGACGTCAACGTACCTAGCCCATCATCATACTCTATAAACATGTTTAGTTTCACCACCAAGCCCTAACTTTACAGTACAATACAACATAATAGAATCTATGGTAGTTTCATTAATAAACAACAAATGAGTATATTCTTTAAGATAAAATAAACAGATGATTGTAAAAAAGTCGATTTCTTGTCAATATTAAATAAAGAACAGAGAACAGAGATAAAGAAATATAATCAATGAACAGTCCACCATGGATTCGGCAATTACACATGATGGAGTGTTGGAGGCACCAAGCCCGCCTGTGGTCTGCACAACCAGAACCATGCGGTCCCATACAGACGCTCTCTACCTACTATTTACACCGCGAACTACTGTACTACACACTATAATAACTTTATTTATACTGAGCGAGCGTATTTACATACATTACTTATTTAAACGTCAACTATCACTACGAGTAGGTACCTCGGTCTCGTACACCGCATCACAACTAATGAGAATTCAATACTCCGTGACATTATCGGCGATTGCGTCCGTTTTTTATGTGAACGGTTTAATGAAGATATAAAGTAGGGTGCAATTATAGGGCTCAGGCGATAGCGGGCCGTTTACAGGAGCGGTAATGAGGTCGCGAATCGAGCAGGCATCACGCCGGGTGTCGATTGAGCCTCAATTACGAGCGACGCGCGACGAATACCAAATTCGCGGAAACAACAAACTCACAGCGAACCACCGCACCTGCCGCACCCACTGTGACAGCGGGACAGCCGGCGCGAACAGGACAGGGTATTAAATTATCGAATCCAATATATATTCATATAATTCACCCGAATATATCTAACGAAACATTATATGTCATACCGGCTCTTCACATGGCTATTCGTATTTGCTTTTTATCATTTTGACAGCAGATTGTCCTTATCATACTCTATAGGGAGAGAGTGAAAAGGATAAACTGTTGTCAAGTACGGAAGTGCCGGCATAAAATATTAGCTAGGAATCGACAAAAAAATTTGCTTTATGTAGTTTTTGAGACTTAGTTCCCTTAAATCAGAAACCTATTTACAAGTAAACTTAAATAAAAAATATAATGTGTTGCGGAATGGATGCAATATTTGATATTGGTTAGGATTACATTTCCATGTACAGGCAGTGGAGTTCGCTCCACTCCTCTCTACAATGTTGTGCGAAATGTTTGACGGCCACGTCCGGCATGCTGCCCGCCCCGCTCATTACTATGCAATCAATCAGTTGAACCTACCTAGACGCAAATCACAACAATGCTTTCACTCACTCATAGAGTAGACCGCGACCTTATTGCAAGACTATCCTTTTTCTTTGATCCCGAGGACTGCAAAAGGATTGCGGTGGAGTCTTCCCCTCAACATATTTGCCTGATCACTGGGCCCACTTCATACATATAAGAGCACTTGAGCTCCGTACAATCTTGCCATCCAAATATATGTTGTATGCTATATACATATTATGTTTTCTCTAGGCCGATAACTTATTATTTTTATGCAATATCAAGGAGATCTGCACATAGTTGCTAATGGACTGGCTTTAATGATCACTTGAACAGTGTTATTGAATGCTCAAACACAAATTACACTGGATTGGAATCTCTTAAATGGTTTTAAATAATACAATGACCATGACGTTGCACTTTTATATATACGCTAAATATATCTAAGTAGGTACCTACGTAACTAATACATAATATATCATTATACAATGTCTTTCTTTACAGCCGTTGATTACCTCTGGAAGTGGTAGATGGTTGAGCGTTGTCTACGCGACGGGCGTGAGCTGAGGCTCCGTTGGCGACCTTCGTGGCTCTGCCAGCGTCAAAAGTGGCTTCATCGCTTTCAGCAGCGCCTCCAACTTCGTGAGTCGCAACTTCGGCATCTTCGGCCTGGCTTCCATTCTCGTCGGGCGCGGACACACCGTTGCCGGACATAATTTAACAGTATTCGTGGGCGACAGGTCCCGCTCAGAACCAGTAAAGATCCTTGGACGTGTCTTGCACCTGCGCTTCCAGACCTGTACAACAACAACATTGAATCGTTATCAAAACATACATGAACATCAATTGTATTTAAGTTAGAAATTACGTAAACGTAGGTAATTAATTTCAAATAGAAAATTCTGTTTAGTTGTGGCACGAGTTATAAAAATGACCTATTACAAAATTGTAATTGTACTTTCATTCTTATAAGATATCTTTTAAGACAAATGTTTTTTAAGAATTAATATGACGACCTCCGTGGTCGAGTGGTTTGTACGCCGGGTTTCATGGTGTCGCCGACTCGAGAGGTCCCGGGTTCGAATCCCGGTGGGGGCAGATGTTTGTGTGATGAATACGAGCATTTGTACTCCAGTCATGGATATTTAATATGTATTTCTATATAAATATACTTATATATGTACAGTATATGTATTCTATCCGTTACCCTAGCATCCCATAACACAAGCCTTACAGTGCTTACTTTGGGGCTAGGCTAATTGGTGTGAGTGTTGGACATATTTATTTATTATTTATTTATTTAATTAGATGTCAATTATTTCTACTGAGCAGTGAGAGCAGAGAACAAACGAGAAACATTGCCCCCCCCCCCCCCCTATCATCAACTTATTTTTTAACTAGATTGCAGAAGCAAAAGAAAGCTATGTATTAATATCGCAACGCGAGCAGTGTTCGATCAGACGGCAGCGTATCGATGGCCGCCTCTGATAAGATAACGATGACAATGATGGCCCAGCCCGCAGCCCGGAGCAGACAAAGCCGACGGCGGCGGCTAGTTAGCGGCTGATTGTTACAGACGCCGCGCTCTTATCGCTCGCTGCGATACCATCGCTAGATCGCTCACCGACCGACGACGCATCTAGCATCCTCCATCCATCTAACGTAATTTTTATTAGTTTACTGTTGCTTTTACATACCTAGTAGCATCCACTCATTACGTCAGCATAGTCCAAAATGGCAAACCTCACATCATCACATAAATATGTTGGAATCTATAAGGAAGTAGGGGCAACTACCCAATCATTGGCACTCTTCCTATTATTGGCATTTTTGAGTTTAGTTCGAAAAAAACAGGAAACAACAGATTGTAGGAATAATGCTGCCAATTTTCAAATTTCGAAATCATACTAGGTTTAAATCTAAAGAAAAGTTTACTAGAAAAAATATCCACGCGGACCAGGCAGCGGACGGGACTCGAACCCGCATCCTTCGCTATCCGGGCGAATGCACTGACCATTATGCTACCACGGCCCTATTAGCCTTAAGCTGCAAGGCAGCGCTATCTCTTCGCATTGTAGGTAACCCACAATGTCAAATGAATACTTTTTCAAGTATTAAACATTTGAAAGAAGAAATAGCAATTATAGTTGATTTTATTTATTCGACGCGGCTAATAGGGCCGTGGTAGCATAATGGTCAGTGCATTCGCCCGGATAGCGAAGGATGCGGGTTCGAGTCCCGTCCGCTGTATGGACCGCGTGGATTTTTTTTTTCTAGTAAACTTTTCTTTAGATTTAAACATCTAGCAGTTAAATGCTTAAAAATAAATCATAACCATACCAGGTTTTTCTTTTTAATATGTAACGACCTTGAATAATCTATTGTCTCCTTGTTATTCCGAATTAAACTCAAAAGTGCCAATAATAGGACGAGTGCCAATGATTGGGTGGTTTCCCCTAATATTATTTTTATTGAAGCTGAAGAGTTTGTTTGTTTGGTTGAAAGCGCTAATATTAGGAACTACTGGTACGATTTGAAAATGTTTTTTTGTGTTTAATAGTGCACGTGTTGATGAAGTCTACAAGCTATATAACAACGTTACCACTAATAGGAGCGGAGCACCAATGAAAATGTTGCAAAAATGAGAAAAATATTCCATATGTGAGCTTTCCTTGCGTGCGCTGCGTAAAAGGTTATAGTTACACGAAAATCTGTCTGTCTGTCTTTTAAGGATGACTCCTTTTCCTCAAATTAATGAGGGTGAAGCCGCAGAGCACCTCTAGTGCTGCTGCAAATTATTCATAACGTTCCTATGGAACACCAATGCACGAATAATAGTGTATATACTTATATATGCATAGTAGAGTAGTATTTAATAAAATAGTAAGACATGTAGAGCAAATTGTAAATTCGTCTTATTCTGAAAAATCTCAACTTGGATTGCAAAGTGTACACTTTTTCTGTTAAATTAACCAATCTCGTTAAGTTGTTTGCATTTTCTTATGTCGACAGCGACAAAATCACTTATACACCAATTTGGTAGAAAATGAGTTCCATAAGTTGGGGAAAAAGTCTCATTCGCTATACCATTTGTATCTGGCTGGGTTTTGGTATCCATTATCATTGTTTCTTGTTTTTTGCTATTTTGGGACTTTTCTTTACACTTATTTTTACTAAATTCGTTGATTGTTTATTGTTACCTATTTCACATTATGTGATGGAAGTTGACCTCAACACATGTTTGCAAGTTTGATGTCAGCTTTCAATTTGACGACACTGTATGAAATATAACAGGGAGAAAAAAGCAGCCCTTGCTGGTTTCAAAGGAGCATGGCCGTCCATGGTCCATCCACCTTATATCATTTTAATCGGATTGTTTTTTGCGTCGATACGTTTTTTCCATGAAGATTTGAGTACTTTCTTGGCGCTTAAGGAACTCAATTTTTAAAGCTTTTTATTGTTCACAACACTGAAGCTACATACATTTTGGTGTTTTTTCAACAATGGTGCTTAGACCCTACTATTTGGAGTATGATTTGATGTTTGCTTGACAAAAAATGTATAGTCGAGTGATTTTCGCTTTAATATTACCGTGGCTTAAGCGCCATCTAATTCGTAAAGTAAATGCACTATGTAACTTTTTAATAGTAGGATATTTAGAAAATATTATTTTATGAATATGTTTTTATCTTAATGGCGCTACTTCTCATTTACAATAAGTTATGATTTTTGATGTGTAACATCTTTCCTCTCGCATTTCTGCAATTTGTGCAAGTGATTTCGTGAAATGGAACAGGAAGTCGCGAAAGCGCGCGCTATTCGATTTGATTTTAGAACATAATGTTCAAATGGCTTATTCCTTTCGTAGTAGGTTTTATTTCTTTTTTTACTAATATAAGGTGAGGTTTCAAATGTTACACATCATACGCGACTACTGTAAGGCTCGCTCGTTTTTTTGTAAAAAAGGAAAACTTTGATTCTCAATTATGTGAAGTTTCTAAAATGTCATGTAAGCGATTATACTTTTCCAATGTCGATGTATATAATAAGTGACTATATAAGTAACAATAGCGAGGTTAGTTTCGTTACCGGCGGCGGCGGCGGCGGCGGCGACGGCGGCGGCACAATGTAATGTAGGGACTATCAACGCATTATTCCGCGTGAGTTATCGTTTTCCGTTGTTCGTTGAACATCGCCGACCATTCAGTTTCCGTCACTAAAATAGCTGCGTGTTACTATGCTTCTCTTGCACGTGTCTACTACATTTTATTTCAGGGAAAATTACAATTACGCTTGTCATGAAAAATGTGTGTTATTTATAACTAGTGGCCCGCCCTTGCTTCGCTTCGGGGTAGAATTGATCAAAATCCTTTCTTAGCGGATGCCTACGTCATAACATCTACCTGCATGCCAAATTTCACCCCGTTCCGTCCAGAGGTTTGGGCTGTGCGTTGATAGATTACTATGTCAGTCAGTCACCTTTGACTTTTATATATATAGATGAGTTGGTATTGCCCGATTGTTTACATCGACAATTAACCAGAAAATTAATTTTCATTTAAAAAAGTTTGCTGCTATTGTACTTAATACAATCCTACACCTACCTACTTACTCATATTATAAATGTGATAGAATAATAACAATAAATATTTCCAACACTCACACCAATTAGCCTAGCCCCAAAGTAAGCACTGTAAGGCTTGTGTTATGGGGTACTACTAGGGTAACGGATAGAATACATATACTTTACATATATAAGTATATTTATATAGAAATACATACAATAGTCAAGAATGATGTATTCTTATTGTTTATGGATCTTAAGCTTAAGTATATTAAATAGCTAGCAGCTGCCCGCGACTTCGTACGCGTGGAGTCAATTATTTGCACATACTTTTTGATTCCTGTTCACTGCTCGTTCCCCGTAGGTGATAACGTGATAATATGTAACCTATATGTTGACCCGACTTCTTAATAATATTCTTGCCAAATTTGAAGTAAATCCATGCAGTACTTTTTGTGTTTATCCCGGACATACATACATACAAACAGACAAAAATTTTAAAAACTATATTTTTGGCTTCGGTATCGATTGCAGATCACACCCCAAGTATTCTTTAAAATAATATTCAATGTACAGTTTTGTCTTTCCTACCATTTTATTATATGTATCTTTAGATAAATATAATAATCAATTCGCATATAAACCAAAGGTTACGTCGTCCATTAAGAACGCCACAATGTAGTGCGACGGCCGAGTGACAATATTAATCGCCTTTTAAATCGATTAATGACATTACATCGAGTAGGTACTAATAAAACTCTGTAATGGCTTCCTCCTTGGTCCCCGGCGGCAAATTGCTTGTCTATATGACACGGTAGATAACATGAAGATCGTAGTTTTATTATTTATCTTAGGTATACTATAGTACCTAATTAAATATTTCATTATCACCAGCCTATTAATGCCCCTACTGCTAGGGCACAGGCCTTCCCTATGGATGGAATAGGAAGATTGGGCCACGCTACCAGTGCGGATTGGTGGGTGCTAACCACTACAGATGCAGCCGAGAACAACGGCTTAACGTGCCTTCCGAAGCACGGAGGAGCTCGAGATAGTAAATTTTTCGTCACCCATCCAATGACCGACCACTGCGAAAGTTGCTTAACTTCAACGATTGCAGCCCAACGCGCTAACCACTTGAGCCATCGAACTCCTCATTAAATATTTATATTTTATATATTACATATTTACTTACATCCAATTTTAAAAATAATTTCTTGTCCATGTTATTAT